GCTCTGGGGGGGGGGGGGGTGGGGTGGGGGCGGGCCCGGCCTCCTCCCCGCCAGTGGCAGCACGGAGGCCGCCACCGTCACGTTGGGGGGCACGGGACCCTCCAGCTGCTTCTGGCTGCCATGGTAGCTCAGCTGCCCGGCGCAGGAGGGGGGCACGGGACCCTCCAGCTGCTTCTGGCTGCCATGGTAGCTCAGCTGCCCGGCGCAGGAGGGACCTTGAGCTAAAGTGCTTGACGCGGGGTAGGGAGCGACGCCGACCTGGGCGGGCGACAGCTTAGTCCGCTTCCCCTCCGAGTTCTTCACCACGCTTTTGCCGGAGGCTTTGACGATGGCCAGGAGACCCTGGTAGCCGCCGGCGTGCAGGGGGTAGGGGCTGTAGCGCTGCCCCGTGGTGTCGTAGCCATTGACCGTCCGGTTAAGGTGCTTGTGCTGGGGGACCCTGATGTTGGTGGGGAAGATCTTGATGGTCAGCGGGCTGTTGGCCACCTTCTGTGCGTAGGCATCCAGCTCGGCGGGGCTGGGGTAGCGCGGGGAATGCATGGATGCCGCCGTCTCGCCTGCGGGAGCAAAGCGTAGGGTGAATCTGGCGCTGCTGGGAGGAGGGGGACCCGGTGCCCCGGCACCCATCACCCCTGTCCCGGCTCCCACCCACTCCCGGCAGAAACCAGGTCAGGACACCAACCTGCCCCCTCCCGCTGACGGAGTCACTTCTAAGTGGCCTAAAATAAACTTGGTGTGGAGAATGGAAATGTCACTTTACCCAACGGGGGAATCTTTCTCTGAGATTGGATTTAAACTACATTATACAAGCAATTTCATGGGTGCTTTGCGCTGCTACGAGAACCTCACCAAAAATGGAAAAGCATTGCATTTACCAGCCATAAATCAGCAGTTCCTATAATGAGCACAAAAATGTCACTTTTATGCAATTTTACAGATGAACAAAACTGGTGAAATTAACTGTGGTAACCTACTGGAGTCAGCAAAAGCCACTGCAGAAAAAAAAATTATATATGTATATATTTTTGTT